ATCCAATCACATTTACTAAGGTTGTCCATCAAGATTTGAGATAAGCATCTAATGAAGGGAGATCATTGGCCTTATAGTGGCCTTGGAGGTTGGTCAAAAATAGTTAAAATGATTTTGAGTGTCCTCACCAGATATCGCGTTAATCTCTCTACAGCCTCAAGTGCTACCCCAAAACAAATCAAGGATGCATAAAGGAGACCAGGATCACCAATGTGAGTTTCACTTCCTTTAAAAGTCTGCCTAGGAACAGTTTTGACAATCTTGATTACATCTTTTAAATGTTTCTTGTTTGTAATACTACAAATACTTCAACTATACTAAAAAACACAATTTCTTCAAAGTGATTATGAACAGAAATACTTTCAAAGTGAGTTTTACAGACAACTAAAATTGCAGAAAAAGCAATTAAAACTAAAGAATATCATACAAATATGATTGTGTAAAATGTAGCCTCTAATCTTGCTTGTTGAGGTGTTTAAAATGCTGTTAATTTTATTATATAAATTATAGCTATTCTTAGCAATGAAATACATAGGGCCCTTTAGAGAATTGCTTACATACAACACTTAATGTGGCTAAATTTACTGCAATGTTTTGTGATTAGAATTTTAATTAAATTCTGTTCAGGTAACTGCTTTATTGCATATATGTTAAAATTACAAACCTTTTCTAGACCCAGGTACCCTCTCATAATAACTATTTTGGGAATTTCTATTACCTTGAGTAAAAAGTCATAGCAATATACAGTAATTGGTTCTAGGCCTCAATGAATTAAAGCAGACCTACTAATAATTAGCCTAAAGAATTGGGATTAGTTTTTTTTAAAATTTCCAAAAACCCGGTTTTCAACTAACAAAAGGGAAGGAAAAAATAAAAAAAAAAAAATCATAGCACACATATATAGCAATACATTTCATTTATATTGACATTATTTTACTACTCATCTCTGGACTCATATTATATGACCAATAAATGCCTCAAGTAAAGAGAGTAGGTAATATTGCCTATAATACCAATGAAATAATTAAGATTTAGTAACAGCCAACAAAGCCAAGACTAGTAGCAACTTTTTTTCAGTCTTATTACAAATTCCACCCTAAAATTGCATATTAGGTTTTTCTAAATATGCTATTTTCCAAACCCAAGTCAGAACCAAATAAATAAATAAATAAATACTATTGGCTTAAGGAAGAACAACTTAATTAATGGAAATATGTTTACATGAATATCATTCCAGAAATTCATTATAAATCTTAAATGCCTCTTAACTTCCATACTACAAAGGAGATTGTTTCTCAAATTTAAAAAGGAAATGTTTACAAATTTGCCAGTGCAAACTCTCCTTTGGAAAGATACATATAAGAAGAAAACTTTCTGGAATAACAAATTACTTTATGCAATGTATTATTTTCTCATTTTGCCTTAGAAAAATTTCAGTGTTTACATAGAATAGTTTATGATGCAAAAAAGTTGTATATTTTCCATTACTTTAAATCCTTCTTTATTATTATTATTTTCTTTTTTCTTAGCAAAATTTTAATGAAGTACAAGCTACACATTCAAAGGGTAAATTCATAACTCTTTGCATCATCTTTGGATTTAGGAGAAGACACTGCTCATTCTAATTCTAGGAAAACAAATCACAAGGGAAATTGTAAAAATACAAAGATTTGAAACTTTTCTAAAGGAAAATAGATTCCGTTTATGTAAAGTCATTTCATTAATCATAATTAACTTCTATGATTTTTTTTCAGTCAAAACAGTCTAACGACTTTTATATTACTTAAGTCAAGTACTTGCAAAATGCAATGCAACCACTGCCATGGAGTCAGATCCGACTCATACAGATTCTTCTTTGGGTTTCTGAAGTGGTGTCACTATGGAAGTAGATTGCCCAACCTTCTTTCCTAGGAGTGGCTGGTGGGTTTGAATCACCAGCCTTCTGGGAAATAATTTTTAATTCATTTAATTGGAAAAGTAACTTCATTGATTTTCTTGAAGAATATAAAATCTTAATTTCAATTACTCAAATGCACTCGAATTTTGTTTTAAATTATCTAATTAATCATTGATTTTTATTTTGGGCACAACTTAATTTTTAAATTATAATATGCATGCATTAGACAAATGCTTTAAGTTCTGTTTCTTTCTCCTCTTTCATAGGGTTTAAAAATGTTAACAGTTTGTAACAAGTAACTTTACCCACTCTCAAAGTGTTAATGTGATTAAATAAAAGTGAAGAAAGTGAATTTTGGAGGGTGACTATGAGAAGAAAAGTGAATTGTATATGTAGACATATGCCAGTTGCCTCGAAATTATTGACAACAATAAGACTGCTAGGATGAGGACTCTAATATCCAAACTAACTGGGTTGTACATATAACATTTAAACAGTGTTGGCAATTGAAAACCATCATTATTATTTATAGAAGGTAAACAATAAACAACAAGAACAAATTTCATATAGAAAGCAAACAGTAAATAACAAGATCAGATTTGAGGTGAACCTGTACCCTCTATCACTACAAGTACCCAACTTGGCATCATATGGGAGGAACCTACTTCTGCCTAAGAAGACCCATTTACTCTTGTCAAATTACTCAGATATACTTCTGTATTACCTGGCAGGCATGTGGTGGACTAGTTATCAGCAAGTCTCTCTCTCTCCCTCTCTCTCTCTGCAAATGTGTCATCAGGTTGGTTGTTTTGTGGTGTATTTCTTAATTCCAAGAATAATGTCTTGATCATAAAACTTGCTTTGGAAAATGACCTTTTGCAAGTCTCTCTCTTCTCTTTTCCTTCTCCTTCTCTTTCTCTCTCTCTCTCTCTCTCTGTCTTTGTCTCTCTCTCACTGTCACCATGGCTTTTCTTAGCCAGGTCTGGCTCCCTATGCTTGCTGGTCCAGCACACAACCAGCAGTTTTGGGACAACTCTGAGCCAAAGACAGGGTTAGGCCAGCATTTATGACAGCTTTGGAGCGAAATTTTACTGGTAATCACTTTACAGTGTATGCCTAAGATCCTGCTCCATTGGCAACCTACTACCCAGAAGTACCTAGCTGTGCTCCATGGGTGGACTCTACTCACTGCTGTCATCTTCTTCATGGGCCAATTCTGCTCAATGTCACCATCTATCAGTCTCACTGTTCCCACAACTTGTACTTTTAACGTCACCTCTCTGCTGTTTGGCTATGCTGTGCTTGTCACCGTTTCTTTTGCTCTTCAATATTATCATCTCAGTGAGTATTGCCAGCTAAGTGCTACAAAATTTCACCTGTTTCACAGCTCTAGTTCTAGTAAGTCCTCAGTACAAGTCCTATGTCCAAAGGACACGACTCTCTTCTGTTACTCAAAAACCTTTATGAGATTCACCACTTATATAGGAAGATGTCTTGTCTGTTTCAGAGTGTGACATTCACAAACTGACCCATCTTTTAGGCAGATGTTAACCAGACAATCCTATTGGGTGGATTTGCAAGATTTTTATGTAAATACTAAACAGACCAATCTCCTGTAAGTTGCAACCCTTGCAGGATTGTGTGTGATTCAATCAATCATTTTAAAGGCATTATAAACCTAGGGCCAGAAAGGCCACATAAGAAAAAACTCATGACATCACAAAAGGAAATACAACACCTTGGAACAGAATATACTTTTTTTTTTTTCCACTTCATCCTATTTTATTTTTACTAAGTTATAAAGTTGCAGTTTCATGAGTTTATGATCTCCATTTGATATGTTACTAAGTTTTATTAATTTATCAATGTTTTCATTCTTCCATTTTCCCCTAAAAAAGAGGTTTCTGGCTTTGATTTCCCAATTTGTTTAGCTTCACATATGTTTAGGTAGAGCTATCTTGACTAGAGATGTACTTTTAGTCGTTGATGGAGCACAATAACACAAAGGAGAAGTACAAGAATCAGAGACATGGGAATTAAGATTAATGCCAGAGAAAGGGTAGGGTTAAAAAAAAATAGAAAGAGATTTAGGAGCAGATGTAATGAAAGAGGAAAGTTCATTGAAGGACAAAAGGGAGATTTTAAGAAGTATTTCTGAGGACTTTGTGCTCTCTTCTATTTCACTGCATACTATAATTAAAGAAGAACTTATGTTGAAATAACTTTTTTTGTTTTATAAAATACTATTTTGACTTAATTTTCAGACTAGTACATGGAGAACTTGGTTTAAAAATAGTACTTTTGCACCTATTTACTTAACGGTTTAAGAGGTTAAAAAAAACTGCCCATAATAATTTAAAATTATCACTTAGAATAGGATTAAATCATTTTTCTTTAAACATTTGTAAAATTTTATGCAATTTCTAATTATTTTATATATGTACTTTATACAGCAATACTTCTTGTTCTATCTTTAACTAATATCTTTAGATAGCAAAATGATCATGAATTATTTTTATCCCTGGAAATAAGCTCCTTTTCAAAATTACTTTGCTATTCTCCCCATTAAAGGATGAGGTCCATTTTTTCATGAATAGAATCTTGTATTGACCATGAAACGTGCTGACATAAATGGCCTTTTGCAAATCCTGGCAGGAGTTTGAAAATTTCCCATTCCTTACTACTAAGAACTCTTGCACTAAATGAATAAGAATGGGCTAGCCTAACAAGGGGCAGAGAAACATTGTTCAGAGCTATCCAGCCCCAACTGAGGCCCAGACACTGGTCATGCTGCTCTAGATCAGACATCAGGAGAAGATAAATAATTGTTGTTTAGAGCCAACATGATGTGATAGTTTGCTACACAATGAAAGCTAATTGATACCTAATTTATTCGAATCTTAATTATATATAGCTTCATGTAAGTTTTCAAAGAGATATCAATGTAAAAACTTAGCCAAAGAAAAACTGAGCTACACTTTTGAGTTTCCTTCTTTAACTCAGAAACTTATTCTGGATAAGCCTGGATAAAACATGGGCTAGCATATCAACTAAACAACAGAATACAAATCTTATATCACTGAAACAAAATTAGAGCAAATACCTGATGGTCTTTCCTGGGTCTGCCTCTATAATCCACGTGCAGTGAAGATTGTTGTCGTAGGGAGCTGGATAACCAGGAGACAAAATGCGCCCCGAAGTGGCAACGTGAATCCGACCACCGCATTCCGCTGTAAAAGAATTGGAAACATGGGAAAATAGACCCTATGTGTCACAGTGCCAAGCAACTTTTAAAAAACCAACCACTTCTATATTCTACACCCAGAAAAAATGTCACATATTTCTCTTCATCATTT